ACAAGACTTTGATATGGCTAAGGGTGAGTTTGACATGTTGTAGTTATGTGCTGGGGGAGGGGGGGCTATGATATTTTCCTTTGATAAATCAACATCTCTTTAGGGGGTCAGAAATAAACCCCTGAGATGATCAGGGGGCTTCAAAAAATGAAAGGAAAAATAAGGAAATCATCATAGCCCACCCTCTAGATAAATTATGAATGCTCCCTTAGCCCCAATGAAACAAATCACATAAAACAACAACTGGTAGGAGTCTTTTCTAACAGAACAACCTCGTTCCCAGGCACTTTTCGTTTTCCAATATGGTGGCAAGAGGCTGTATTGCATAGTGGCTAGATATTTCGTAATTCTGTAGTTTAAGTCAAAACTCAAAAATCATTTGTTGGCACGGCATGAAAGGATAATTTTGGGCTTTGGGACCCTTCATTTTTAACAGACAATTCTTTCAACATGCGAGAATAAACACGAAAGGGTTTAGAGGCACATGTGGGCAAAATAGAATCCTTCAAAACCGCTTTTGTTTTTATAAGCTTATCGAAGCTTACCACCACGTTCATTTAAGCTTTAACAAATATCCTTTTAAAATTTTCACGAATACAGAGAACAAATTACGTACCACTTAAACTCCTCCGGTATCGCTCTCTTTGCAGTGTAGTGTGGATAAAATGATGCTCAGTCTGTTGAATCGTCGAGGTGGTCAGCGTCGTTCGAGAAAACCGCTGAAATCAGCTGCGGCCTCGGAAATAAGCGTTCAGGAATTTTGACAAAGCAAACTCTATAGCCGCGTGGGAGTTAAATTTGCGGTTACAAATCTTTTACAAATCTCTACAAGATAACTGATCCTCAAATTATATCAAGGCGCAAAGGCCTGCTTACTGCATGAGAAACCAACTACAAGGGATTAGAGGATCTTACCCAAGATAACCACTGAATAACCAGCTGCAGCAAATACTATTACTGTTAAACTTTGAGAAGACTGATGCTGATTGAGCAAACGGGGCAATGGTAAAGCAAACCTTGCGTGAAATTGCAAGTTTGGTCAATGTGCAAACGTTGGTTAAAGTGGTCGCGAAGATAATTCTTTGATCATTTTTTGCTTAAATTTACAACTCTAGTAACCATACATTTTACACAGTAACTTTGCTATGTCAGCAAATATCATGCAAACATTCATTTTTGACGTTTGATTTTTACATAGAGAACAAAATAGAGGCAAATTTGAATCTAAACACCAACTTTACTATAAGGAGCAAAAGTGAAACAAAATCTGTGTAAACTTGATATTTACTCCACATTTACGCCAACTTTGCAGAAAAGTAAACTTTCACTTTTGAACAAAATTTGCACCAAGAACAAATGAGTAGCAACATTAGTACTCTAAATTTACAACAAATTTGCTCAACTAGCAAACTTAAGCAAATCCGTTTTTTCGTCCAGTGTGTGAAACCGTACAATACACTTAAGCGAACTTCAGCAGCGGCAGCAAACCTTAGGTATTTCACTTGATATCATATTCATAACTTCACCACAGTGTTAAGGTGCATAGAGTGCTACCTTTTTTTCATATTGTTGAGCTGCTCATGAATAAGTTGTTGTTTTCATTTTCTCTTAGGGCTGCATTTCTGCATTTATTACTAGAGAATATCTTTCCTCGATTCCCTTATCAGGAATAGAGTACAATAAATATCGGCTGCCAATAACATTTCTTTGTAAATTCTCTAGCCAGCAAGTCCGCCCATTCTTCCACTTGTGTATGTTACGACTCCATTGCGATTATCATTCTTATTTGCAGGAATTGCTAGTCTGGGATCGACTTGCGCGAAGAAATTCGGATCTGCTCTCGCTAATGATGTTGGCCTTGGAACAGCTATTATTGTGGCTCATGAACTGGCCCATACGTAAGGGATTTTGCAAAATTTATTGGAAAAGAGCCAAAAAGTTATATTTTTTCTTGTCACTAACAATGTTACCAGTGGTAAAGTAGGGACCAAATTGTTCTCTTTTTATCGCGGTGAAATTTCATTAACTTGCTGTGGAATTCATAAAAAGTTACACCAATGACTTCACGTTTAAATGAGCGAGAATCTCGTTATAATTTAATGTTATCTGCTATTTTTAGGTGGTTTAACCGGTCTGATAGTTTTTTTTTTGGCAAAACCTCCAACCCTGATATGGTTAGTGCTTGTGATTGGTTGAAAAACCGTTTGTAGCGTCGCGATCAGATTGTCAAGATTTGGGCGCCCTTCAATAATAGTGCTAATTAAAGTAAATTACCCTCCATGACTTAAAAAAGTTAAAATTGGGTTCTTCCTAATTATATTTGTGCATATAGCAAAACTATTTGTAAATGAGAGATTTTATCCTAAAGGATGGGAGTAGCACATGACAGTTCCCCGTGTGCAAATCATAAAAACATAATGGCCTCTACCATACCCAGTGGTCCAGGATCATTGACGTGGTCTGCGTGCAGTAGAAAAAAAATTCAGGAGTTCCTAAGGTACCGTGTGACATTTGCGTTATCTATTTAACAGGATATAAGGAAGGTGTGTGTGCATGGTATTCTCGTAATAGCAAGCTGGTGTGCAAACTAGCAACCCTTATTTGATTTTGGTTGCGTCTTTTGCCTTGCTTGTCTAACAAACTGCGCTCCACCCTCCACACTTCTCATGATAACCTACTAAATGAATCGTCAATTAGGTGCGACGGTTTTCAATTGACCACTACAGAATGGCCCCAAGAGAAACTGAAAACAACGCTTATGCAAAATTTGGTTGTGACAAACAAAGAGCATTATGGTATGTTATGGTATTTCCTGTAGTGGTCAATAAGAGGGAAATAAGCATATCGTGTTGTCAACAAGGGCAAATAATCGCACCTTAGTCACAGCAAAAAAATGGTGGCAACTGCCTTGCTACAGTCACGGAAAAGCAAGCGTCAAATCCTAGTGTACCCGCCCTGTACATCGAACATTTATAGGGGATCAGCTTGTTCCGAGCAAATCACTCATGCAATTAAGACAATTACATAAGGATTTTTAAATAAGTATTGATCTTCCTTTACGTGAAATAATTTATTAATAATCTGTATCTCCGGCTTAATTTCAATAATCCAACTGGCTGATAACAGATAAGAAGCAGCCGATATCTTTCTATAAACATGCAGTCATTTCTTTCCCACAGCGTTGACACATACTTATCCATACAGTTACAGGTCAGACTGCTTAAATGACTTCCCGCCAATATCTTCTGTTACATATGAACCGAAGAGACTTTACGGCAAGCTGACAGGACAGATCATCAATCGCGATGAACAATGCAAAGCGATTCATGGTCCGAGCTTCTACGCATGCCCCCAACGTCTGGTAAGTAAGACACGTGGAAATAAAGCTAAGAAAACTAGAAGCTGAGTTTCCTTTTAAGAAGCTAGGGGAATATGAATTCCTTGGAATTTAACATGAATTGGAAGAATAAATTACAACTACTTTTCAAATCAAATTTCCTCAGAGTAAGCAAGAGTCTTGTTGATGTTTCACCAAATTCAGCTACATAACGACATGATGAATTGCTTACAGAATTATAAATTTTTATTTTTTGAGCCAAACAATTGGCAATTTGCGTGGGAAAAGCCAAGGGCCTTGCTACTGAAAATTGAGTAAACGATTGGAATTTCTATTGAGAATTAAACGGATGTAGCAACTTATCAGCGCGCCCTATTTGATTGTGTCAACTTAAGGCAGCAGAAAGTTTGGTTTGCTTTTTGTTTCTGTGCCATCGAATAAATAGAACTAACTTTCTTTTACTTTTGTGCAGAATGATTGTGGAGCACTGGGATGTACAAGGGATGGTTACACTTGCTCTTTCACTACTGCTTCCCCTGCGGATGGAACAAGATGCGGATATAGACACGTATGACTATAATTGTATATCGCTACTAAAAGGTTAACCTATATTTAACAATTATTTAAAGAGCCTAAGTATGATGTGAAGATTGAATGGGCGAATATACTGAAACTTTTCTCGACTGAGATTTTCGGATAATTTTAAGACTACGAACCCGACAGTGATTTTTGGGGAGGGGGAGTGGTGGGGTAAAATTGTCTGTCTTTCGTGAGTAAGAATACCACCAAGACTCGGTATGATAGTCAACGCAGACACCTATACAAAGTGAATTGCACTTTTCTTTTAGTGGTGTATTAACGGTGAATGCGTAGATGATGGGTCGCCTGTTATACATGGACACTGGAGCAGCTGGTCAGCCTTTTCGCAATGTACTCGGCCTTGCGGTGGAGGTGTTCAATCCAAGACAAGAACCTGTACGAACCCAACGTAAGTAGTAAAACTAACACTTTTAAAATATCTGAACGATCTCTCTCGATGAGGTGGAAAAATTCAAAACTTTTCACCCGGGGGAGGGAGGGGTACTCGTAAGTTTTTAAACATTTTCAAGTCAATTCTACTGTCCATTTCCCCACTTATATTTTTCAATTTTTTTTTTCGCAGTCTCCCTGCGTTTTTTATAGCTCCCTTCGTCCAAACAAAAAGCTTTTCACAGGATCGGCTCCTTCCGGTCCACGATATTCAACACCGGGTGGAAACACTTTTTTTACAATACAATTTATTTCAGTGTTTACAGCCTCTACAAACAATTTATTTCAAATTTTTCCACCCCCCCCCAAGTCAAAAAATAATGGTCTTTTCCTTATAATCATCGGCTGTAACACTAGGAGCGATTGGACGGAAAGTTAACAGCCTTTGTCCTGTCCCCAAGTTGCTGACGGGTAATTAGGCCATTTCCACGATAACTACATTGACTACTTAACTATCATAATTCATTTCGTGTTTGCTTGACTTGTTTAACTTTGTTAACCCCTCTTAGGTTTAAAAGCAATTGCAATAGCCTTAATTTGAACAAGAAAACTGCAAACTAAAGCATTCTCCATCACGCAATTGTCCTATGAACGCAAGAAAAAAGTTTTCAAAATCGTAATTCGCAATTATTGAATGGGGCTGAGTATAGGTACCAAAGCAGAAAGCCTTACCTCCATCAATGCTAAGTTCATCTTCAATTGCCTGTTTATCGGCAAGTTTAGGAGATAAAGAGTTGTTAAGTACACTGCAAATATATATTCTCCAATTAGCAGATGTTGTCCGTCGAATTGTTGTTGTTCTTGCACTGTATTTAGCCAATAGTTCGCCTATTTCTTCCTCGTGAAACGAGTTAAATGTTCCATCATTTTGAACTCCGACAAAAACAATTCAACCTCCTCCCCAGGTCGTCTCAGTTAACTGTTAAATAATCTCCCAATGTTGCTGCACAATTGAAGTCTTTTTTTCACAAATCTCAAAATTTTCCAACTTTGGTCGACAGTAGCTGATTATGATGAATTATGCGTGGCATTTTAGCCAATCAGAATGAACGGAGAAATATTTTGAATGAATAATATGAAGATTTATTCATGGGTTGACGCAGGAAGCTTGGTTTGAGTCTCGCAGTCTTAACAGTCCACCAAATATGGGCTTCAAATCTCGGTTTTCATATTAGGCAATAATAGAGGATTTGGCGTTTACATTTAGAGTAAGCATTTACCTGAAAGTCAATTTTTTAAACACAGACCTAAGAATGGGGGAAGGAATTGCGTTGGCCCAAACAAAGGACATTGGAGAATCTGCAATCCACAGGTAGGAAGGGCAGTTACTCGTTTTAACTCTTTTTAAAAAGAATGTCTGGTCCTGTATACTAGGTCTGATGAACTTTTTAAGACCATAAACCTACATGATAAGTTTTCTTGTAATGTTTTCGTTTTGTTTGTTTATTGATGGTAACAGCCGTGTCCGGCAGGATCAAAGACATACCGTCAGATTCAGTGTGAAGCAATAGACCCAAATTATCATGCTTACTACGTGACTTCAGGTAGGAGAGGTATCATTTATAACTATTGTTAAGAGATAAATAGTTTATATAGTCATTTCCAAGAGGTCAGAATTTACTTTTCTTATACATTTTCAGCATGGTGTTTACTGGCGTGCAAGAAAGGCGATACAGTCGCTCCTCAAGGGAAGAATGTAAAGGATGGTACCAGGTGCTATAGTAATCCCTCAAAGAAGGATGTCTGCATACAAGGCAAATGCATGGTAAGGCGCTGTTCATGTTTAAAATATGAATATAGGAGACTTTTATCATCAAAATCTTGGTATATCTTCCATTTTGAAGTCATGATTACTATAATATAGAGTACCTGGCTTTAAAGGCCGGCCTACGAATTAGGAATACGCTGCACGACGTTAACGTAAAGGCGTTCATGAGGGAAAGGACGAAGAGAGCACTGGAAAGGAGAGAGAACGTTCTCTTTCTCTCCCTCCCCTTCAACCTCCAATCCCTTCCCTCTCAACCCCTAAGGAAGGCCTGATGATCAGGCTAACACGACGTAGGATCTCTACAGGAAGCTACAGGAGATCTGATCAGCCAAAAATATCGGTTGAAAACATATCTTCAAGGCTGATCGTACTACGCAAACGTCAACTTTACAATAATAAACATAGAATTTCAACAGAGCAGGGCTGCAGCCTTTGATGGCAATAGCTGCAGTGATGATCTGGAATGTATGACTTGCAAAAGAACATTGCTTTTTTGCTCAAAAGTGACGAGTTGGTTCTAAAAGAAATGCACGGCGAAGATTTGCCCAAACAAAGGCAACCCAGCCTCTGCTTACTTTCCCGAACTTTGTATTTGACGCGTAGACTCACCCATTTTCTCAAAACACATGTAGGTGGTAGGCTGTGACAATGGCATAGAGTCGGGAGTAAAGCGTGACCGGTGTGGTTTCTGCGGTGGAGACAGTTCAAAATGCAAGTTTGTCGAAAAATTTTGGAATGATAGGTGCCCTGGATTTGGTAAGCTGGCTTATTTTTGTGCGCGTACAAAATGACCAGTCTAAATTTTTTTAAACTTATAATCTAATGAGGTAATCTGCTTGCAACATCTTATTGATCCGCAGGTTTAGACAGCGCATGTAATATTTTTGAAGTACCCGTTGGAGCAAGCTCCGTATATGTGGAACAAGACACACCCGACCACAACCTTCTTGGTAAGTATAACGCCTGCTTTAGACACAAGTTAGTAAGATTACCAAAAAATGACAGGACATTCACTGTTTTGTTTAATTGCTTGAGGAGTCAACAATTCTTAGATTTGTAGGTACCCGTGGTACTGAGGTTTGCATCAAAGTAGTACTTAATCCAAATTGCTCTGTTTTTCAAAGTTTATAGTTTCAAGTAACTGATAGTGTTTTTCAGAGTGCTTTTCTCTAAAAAGCGAAAAACAACTGGTGTTTATATTTTATACGCACATGGATCTTTTAGAGGTCAAGAACAAAGAAGGAAGGCGTCTGATTCATGTGCCTTCATGGGAATGGAGCCGTACGGTTTTTGCAGCAGGAACAACAATTCACTATTACCACGAAGTAGACGTGGATATAAATACGATTCGCATCCCAGGGCCAACCACTGAAAAGCTCACTGTAGTGGTAAGTGATGCGGCCTGATAAAACAGCTCAGATTTTGTGACGTCACCACTGGTTTCCCCGGGAAATAACGTCCTCTGATGAATGGACGCAGAAATCCGACATTGAATTGATGACGTGCCACTGTCTCATCTTGGTAGTTGATTCTGACCAATCGGAAGCACTACCCAGAGTGGCGTCATCAATATGGAATTTCTGCACTCATTACTTAGACGTCGTTTCGCGGAAAACCAGTGGTGGCGTCGCAACATGTTGGCAGTTTTTGCAGGCTATAGGTAAAAGTAATAAGGCCTTGGAAGATTGCAGCCAAATCTGGTCAAGCGCACACTCGTTTATAGATCAGTTCTATTAACCAGTAATAATCAAAGATAACCAAGTGCGTTTGGTCACAATGCTCGCTCTCCTATGGCAAATTGGCGATGAATTGTTTTGGTTCTCCTCTGCCAAGTTGGTAGGGATGCAAGATAATTGACTCAAGATTCAATCAATTAACAAACGGTACTTTCACTCCAATTTGTGCGGGGAGAATCCCATTTCTCTAACTTGAACGCAATGAATTTTGAAACTGAATTCTTTAGTCTTTACATAGTTATTCATTCTTGCTGTTGTAATGAGCAGGTAATTCACACGCAAGGTGGACCGGAGTAGAAATTTTTTTCCACGCCCGTTTTCTTTTACCTTAAAATCTATATATTTTAAACAATTCAAGCCCGACAAAATATTTCGATGGCCTCCATAATTCTTCTCTTGAACATGTCCTCCTCCCTCGCGAGGATCGAAGAGGAGGACATATCAAAGGTGTGACCAGACAACTTTTAGATGATCCCCAACCGCCGTTGTTGACGCTCTTGTTATTACAACGTGTTCCTTAAATCTCACTCCAAAAGGTCTAGCTGTCCCCCCAATTTAGAAATCATCACAGCGTTCGCACTGAAATTCCTACACCACTCCACATTTCTTTTCCCTGGGTGTCAGATCTTTGAGGTGGCTCAAATGGATGTCTGATGGTGTTAAAAGACTTGTGGAAGGTGCCAACTCCTTGTTTTTTTTTTAAACTTTTGAATTAAGCTTTTCTGAAACTTCTTTTCTTTCTTCTTCTTTTTAGTTTGTTCCTTCTGGCTATCCAAAGACTGGTGTAAAGTACAAAATGTACGATCCGAATCTCCCTTCAGAAATTGGCGTGAGACAAGTTCAGTGGAAAGTTACAAATTGGGGACAATGCTCGAGAAAATGTGCACAAGGTATTTATTGTTTTGTAAACCAGTAGATAGTACATGGTGGAGAGGTTAAATGAACATATTATTTACGTACCTTATTATAGGAAACTAACGCTTCATGAAATTACATGTAACACGAATTTCAAAACCTCGCGTTCATTCAAGTCGCGGTAATTTTTGCAAACGTTAATTTCCGCGCCATTAGTTACATGTAAGGGAAACGTTAATTTCCGCCACCTTAATTTCCATTATGTTGTCTCCTAATACTCCTCTAAGAAAGAGGAGACCGAGTATGGTATCAGGAGGGCTTAGGTGCAGATCCGCGACAGTATTAGTGAACTGTGAAGAACCCTTGAAGTGGCCATGTTTTTTTGCTAGACCCCTTTCGTGCATTTGAACAACGGTTTCCTTGTCGCAACAAGGTTCGTTCTTTGGGAACGTCGCGTTAATTTCGTACGTTCATTTTTAAATGTTGCGTTGTTTTTCTTTATGTGAAAGTTGTTTTCCCTTAAATCCGCGTTGAGTTAAGTCGCGTTGATTTCCAATACCTTAATGTCATGAAATTTTATTTATTTATTTTATTTTCTCTAATAAGGTAGTCAAGAAAATCGACTATCATGCCAGTTACGCCAGTCATAGTTTATGTTATTATTATAATCACTTTTTCGTCATTAATTTTTAACAAATTTGCTAGTCTTTGCCTTCAAGGAGAAAAAAGGAAAACGTAGACTAACCGCTTTCCTTACTTTAGGAAAACAGGAGCGAACAGTGGAGTGTAGCAGAACTGATGATGGCTCATACCTTGGAGACGACTCATGTCTAAAGAAATCAAACAAGCCAGCTGCTGAAAGATCTTGTAACAATCGTCCTTGCCATCCTGAGTAAGAACAAAATTTAAGTTGTTTATGGAGACAACTCTGACACAGGGAAGCAATATCTCGGGGAAATAAGTTTCTTCATTGGTGGAAAAAGTTGTTATTTCAGTTTCTTGCAGCAAAACCCTCCCTTTAGAAATATATTGTTAGCAGCCGTTTAAGTAAGCGGATAGAAATACATGTCCGCTGTTTTTCTTTACACATAGACCTATCCCTAAAGTACTGCAGTATTACGTAGTGATTGACTGTCGAGTGAGCGAAGGGGCCGGGCAGGAAAACATTTTCCATGCTGCTTACGGAAACAGAGCAGCGAGACCCCTGCACCATAGCCGAGGGCCAAATAATTTCCCGTCAGACTCAACCTGACTCAGTTAATAAGCCCTTTAGTATATGACCACTTCGCTTTTTTGTATCACCCCTTGACCCTGATGGATCTGAGCATTTTGGTCTCTTTTTAGTCTCTATGTTTAGTCATATTTCTCTATATTTATCACTGCCATATTTATCACTTCATTTTCGAAGGATGCCACGTACCAAATTTATTTTCAATATCGCATATCGCAGGGCCATACGTTTCGTCACAGGGCCTTATGGCCATTTCGGCTCACCTTTACGGCCCTCATACTGCGTTTCTATCTACAGTTTTGCAATTGAACTGCGCACGATGTTGTTGATTACGGTTTCCCTCGGTATTTCTTATACACCACGTAAAAAAGCTAGAAATACTCAATTCTGTTTGCTTTAGATGGTACAAGTCCGAGTGGAGTGCCTGCTCGAAAAGTTGTGGAAAAGGGATACAAAAGCGCCGGATTCACTGTCGCCGTTTGATTTCGCCAATAAAGCATGAAATACTCTCAGACTCATCATGCGGTGGTGTCAAGCCTACGGGCGAAACACAGAGAAGCTGTAATGAAATCAATTGTCCAGCAAAGTGGAGGGCAAGTACTTGGTCTAAGGTACAATCCGTTAACAATAGCAGACATGATATTCGTCAATACGCTGTAGTTAAAGGTTGCTCTTTTTTACAGTAAAACAGTTCAAATATCAATACAATAGCAAATGGCGATGATGATAATGATGATGATGATATTTAAATTATGATTATGATTATGATGATACGTGGTAGTGACAAATACAACATTAATACATTAAGCACAATGGTAACTCTGGTTTTAAAACACTAAAAAATCGAAATTTCTAAGCGCTTGGCCTTATCTCACCATTATATTTCAGTGTTCTTCTACATGCCGTGGAGGTGTGAAGAAACGCAGCCTGACTTGTAAGCGACTTAACGACGAGGGAAAATTGGTGTCAGCTCCAGAAATACTTTGTTACCACGCTCCTAAACTACAGTCAACACAACAGTGTAACGCAGAGGTTCCTTGTCCTAGTAAGTCGTTACCTTTTAATTAAAGATCACTGCAAATTTTATTGCTCATAAAGAAATCGTGGGCTGGTGAGGTAAGACCTCAAACATTTTACAATACATACTCAACTGATTTTTGAATCTTTACGTTTCGTTCACAGGACCTACGATCAAACCGTAATGTAAAGCTTATCAGTTAAAAGCTGATTGGGTTGCTCAGCTTGTACTTTTATTCAAGATAACTGATAGGGAATCCTCGGCTCCCCAATACGACCACCCTATCTTTATTGAAATTCGCCAGGGTGACTCAACAAGGTGACAGGGGATGAAACAGGATGAATGATATCAACCCTTTCATTACCCACCCAGCCCATAAGAGGTTGTACCACACCACCGGTGTCTACGCCCCCTACTCTTTACGAACAGCAGTGTTGGTTCTTTTACGTCCCACAAGAATCAGAACAGTGAAACAGCTGTGAGACGGGGACTACGGTTTTTCTTCCTTATCTGGGAAGACTAGAATGTTTAACCATTTGTAGATGGCACAACAAAGGCAGCACATTCTCCATTTTAAGATCTTGAGTAGCCTGCTTAGCAGGTGCTTGGAAGCATTTTGGCGCGAAAAAAAAACTGGCGCGCGAGAGAGGGACACGGGAGGCTCCCTCTCCCCCCGCGTGTCTCCCTCACGCGCCCCGTTCTTTTTTGCGCCCACTACTTCCAAGCGTCCGCCAAGCAGGCTAGACCTTGAGTGTTGGTCCGGCCGGGGATTTAACCTGCGACCTCTCGCTCGGTAGACCTCCCCTTTACCAATTGAGCTAGCCGGGCGTCGGTTTAAAAAATACTAAACGATGACATGAAGTTCCACATTGTATTTGTAATGACATCTCATGGCAATTAACTTGCAGCGTCAAGTCCATTGGTGAGGTACCGAGGTCTCGGCTGTTTCAACGACGGTCAGCCACATGCAATTCCTCATTTAGTAAAGAGCTTTCGCGATCATATTGATTGGAAAAATATGCAGAAAACCGTCAAAGAGTGTGCAGACTACGTCTACAAGCATTATCCAAAGAGTAGCGTATTCGGGCTCCAATTCTACGGTGAATGCTGGAGTGGAAGTGACGCAGTTCACACATACAATAGATATGGTCGGTCCAGTAACTGCTGGCAAAACGTGGGAAAAGAACACACTGTTTACGTGTACACTTTTGATTGAGGTAAATCCTCTCTAGTGAGCTAGGAAAACGCTTCTCAAACACACACATGTAAGCCACACGCACGTAAATTTTAATCACGTAAATAAAAAAGACGCAAGATAAAAAGTGCTGAGCTTAAACGAGAAGTTGACAGCGAGGTTCAACTTTTACGGTTACGAGCGACCTTTCATGCATTGCCTCTATTTTATTTGCGAACGTAAATTTTATGCACATACGGACCTCACGTAAAAGTTAAGGGACACTGGAAATCAACCCTGAGTCTATCTGCTTTTATGACTATTTCTCTTGATTTTGTTATGAATACTTTCTTCATTTTATTGTGTTCTTTTTATTGCAGATCCCATAACCTTGGACCTTGTCGCAGAATAGCAATGTATACTACTTGTATTATCGATCTTAGAATAAACACCTGTGTAAAAACACAAGCCTGAAAAGCTTCATTTTTTTTAGTGAAATTTTGGGTTATTGTATATGTTATGGATATTGTTTAGTTTCTTTTCATATCTTTTGTATTACGTCATTTGCTGAGCACGGCGACCGTCCGCAACACAAGGAGGCTGGATAGAATGACTGATTCTGTCAACAAAAAACGCGAAGAAATGCTAAAAATATCTCAAAATAGTTGCAACCTTGACGTTTAAATAGTGATCAACGTACGTTGTAAACCTTCTCGACACCTGCTGTGATCAATTTACTACGCTATGTTCCTCAAATGAAACCCCCGTCCCCTTCCCCTTCCCATTCACCCCGTATATATAACAACCTCTTTGTTAAGACCATATTTTTTCGACCTCAACGTTATCATTGACTTTGAAGAGTACTAAATAAATACATCAAGTCAAGTCAAGTCAGTCAATTTTTATTTAGATTTACACAGAAGATTAATATAATTCAGTGGTTTTAAATATAGAAATAAATATTGTGAAAGAGGAAAAGAAATTATTTCAATTTTAGGTTCATTGTGAAGAGTTTGGGACACCTAAATAGTTTGTAGAACTAACCGAGTAGGTGACCCAAAAGAAAAATACGAGTAGAAGGAATATATATAAGTAACAAAATAGTTGTTCTAGATAAAAAGCATTACTTCATTGATCAAATAGTAGGTAAAAGATAATATAATCATAAAACCTCAGAAATTAATAACACTATTATAACCATCAACCACAGAATTCTTGATATCTGTACATAATAATAATAATAATAATAATATATAATAGTTTTGACGAAAACGAGAAAACCTCATTATTTCGACCAGGATTTTCATGTTCCCGCAACGGTAGTCGCATGCATTCTGTATTTCAAAATACGCCTCCAAGGCAACCTTTCCTAGCGTAAAAAGATTTTTAATTTATGTCTTCAACTTGAAATGACAAGCAGATACTAAAATTGCGAATATTGAATAGTTGGAAATTATTAGCCTCCATCCATATTTTTCAGGAAATGACTACTAAACAAACTATTAAGTGAGGCTGTCTTTTAGATTCCGATTTAGAATCAGTCGATAAAATATCTCATACTTAACTTGTCGATTCACTCCGTGGTCAAGTACAAATTAACATGCTTCCAATTAAAACTAAACCTGGGCTAAGACGTCCGTTCCTTGCGTTCTTCCTTTTATTTATTTTTTTATTTTTTTATTTATTTTTATCAGAGATATCAGAAGTAAAACAACTTTTTCCTGATTAACACAACTAAGTATTACTGACAGAAAGCATGCCGGTTGCGCACAATTTAATATAAGCCAATGAACAACTTCTATTGATTTTTCAAGGTGGATGGCTCACACTTACCCGCGAATAGAAAGCGCATTTCTTGAAACAGCGCGTTTTTGCATTGATTATGATCATATCGGTAAACTTAACTTTTGAATTATAGTAAGAAAATTAATAACTTATTTGTCGGTCTAGGTCTGCCTCAGTCTTGAGTGACGGCAGTGACTCAGCTAGCCGCCGACACCATAGACCGCTCGGCGGCAAATGGCATATATACATTAATATACATGTCGTCATTCCTTTCTCTTCTTTATAGTTCACTAAAAATTCAATATGAAATATTTTTTTCGTTCGCTTTCCATTTTTATGGCTAATAAGTTGTGACTATGATAATTAGACGAGCGGACTGTTTAATTATAATATCTCGCGCGGAGAGATAAATATAATGATCGGCTCAGTTTGGTTTATCTAGTGAGGAACTTCAACGTTTCAGTTTGAGCTTAGCTTGGTCTGTCACAAGCGACACAAAAAATCTTAAGATGTTAATTTATGATAAGAATTAATATATAATCATGGTAAAATGTTAACGCCGAAAGCAAACCAACGCGTGTGAGCAATTTATAATAACTCGGGCTTCAATTTCAGCTCTGATTGGATGATAAACTTAGGTGCGGCAGTCACAAAGATTACCAAAACTGGAGCTGAAAGCGATCAAGTAATTAAGAACCAACAAACCATAGTACAGTTTGTGTTGGACTTTTTTTTACTGGACGTTTCTTTATGAGCCTGAACTTGGTCTCTGGTAATTTTCAGTATTGCTACTGAAATACACGGCTTCTAGGAGATCTCCATTCCAGCCTTATTTCATCAAAATTAGAAATATTCCTGTTGTGACTAATGTCAAAAGCGTGGGCTGAATGGTTTATCGACTTTGGTAAGTGTTATACTTAAGTTTGTAAGGTTTAAAATACAAATCTTTTCAAAACTTTCTGGGATATAAATCTGATCCAAGAAGGTACTCAGGATTTAATCATGCCTTGACCATGTATCTGCGCATTTTGCGAGCAATTCTTTTTTTCAAAATTGAAAAAAAAAATCTAATTTTGCTTTGGAAAACAGGCACTTGTCTGATCGACATAGTATTCTCAGGATAATTTGTGCTAAAACAGCTTTAATGTAGTGATGAGAAAGGCAAATAATGGAGAGGCATTTGCGGTTCCTCTCTCATACTGAAAAGTCAAACGATTTATTTAACAAAACGATAGAAAAACATGATACAATACCCAAAGCTTTTTCTACTTTCCAATCAATAGTGGTATTGTTATTAACGTTGTTAGATTTGTCATATCACACAGTACACATTAACTTAAAGCCAGTAATGTAGTTTAAGGTAGTAGATGGAGGCGTTTGCGGCCGATCCGGGTAACACCCCGAAATGTAGGATCTGTACTTCCGAGTCGCGATATTCCTCAAACAAGAATGGCATTTTTCAGCATTTTCTCAACAATTTTTTTGCAGTTGTTAACGATAATGCTGAGACATTAAACGGGAGTTTTGAAAAAGTCTTAACCCAAGAAACTTCGATCGGGGTCCATTTACAGCCTAAACTGCCCGAGGGTCATGGTGTTGGGCTCTGAAAACGCTTCGTTAGTAATTTATGTCTTATAAACTTGCCGCGATTCGCACTAATGTAAGAGCTCTCACCTTGCGGACTTTTGGCAGGTTGAGATAAAACCTGGAAAAGAATTTAGGACGAAAACGGCAGGCTTAAAAAATCTTCACTAGTTCAGAGAAACTAACAAAAAAGTAACTATTCTTTAATAACTAAATCTTTGTTCTTCAGTTCCACTCCACGTCTTTTCGGCAATAGATGACTTTCATGATTGTAAAATTTTGACCTTATCCTTGAGAACGTTTAACACGATGCTGCGGAAATGAGTATAGTAAAAAAGAAGACAAAGTTCGACTAGCCGGCTTTCTTTATAATGTAAGCGCTCATATTTTTAATTAAATAACAACTAGTTTCCTCAGGTGCTGACGTCATTAAAAGCACAAATGAACATATAAAGGTAGAACAAAACCTGTAGACTGCTTGCAGTCCACCTCATTCTCTTAAAATATGTCCAGTTCTTTACTAGCGCGTGCATGGGTTACGCGTGCTAAGTAACTTTGCATAAAGTAACTTTGCTACGCGTGCAAAGTAACTTTGCGACGCGTGCTAAGTAACGTTGCTAAGTAACTTTATATTTTCTTCGTGTTTGGAATCTTGCTGTTATAAGCCACATTGATGTTAAAATAATGACGGTTTTTGCAATATCTGGGTGATTTCTCGCTCGCTGATTGGTCTATGAGGGTATTCATGACGGGATTTTCGAGAAACTTCAACGAAAATGGACATTAAAATTTTCAATGCTATTGTAAAAAATATAGGGAGCAATTCTCCATGACCTAAACACTTATAAACTGTAGAAATAACGACAAATGTTTACAATTTTACCTTGAAACCACTCGCTTAGGGCTTGTGGTTTCCCTTGACTTTGACGTCATTTTTGACGTCAATTCTATGGTCAATATAAAGAGTAAAGACCTCGGAAAATTGTTGGTTATTTGTTAAGTCTCATTTCAGGATGGATGCAGAACGGTCGCTGAACTTCCTCCTACTTATTTTACACATGTTTTCTTGCAGAGGTAAGAATGGGGTCCTTGTAATAGGCTACCGTGTATGTGGCAAGACATTTTTGCGCGATCTAATTTTTCGATTTTATTGCGATTTTTCCAGTCATCCACGAAAAGAAGTTCCCGCAAATAAAAACTACCGCAAACATTTTTCCCGTAAAAATTTTCTTCAGAGGTGAAATATTCTTTAACTTGAATTCACTACACAAAAATGCATTACTAACAAATCGTACCTCTCTTACTACAACTTGCCTCTTTCGTAGAAACAGCATACAATGAAATACTGCTTTGACATTATCCAGGGGCACCCAACGGGAATATAGTTCAAAACCACTTAAACATAGCATTTTTAAACGTATTTTAGTATTTAAACGGTAGATAAAGGCATATTTTTATCCCCTACAAATTTTTCATCTGTTCGGATTTCCTAGCTGAAAGTCTAGTGATCCGAAAATTATAGGGATCAAAACTTACCTTTTCGAAAATTTCAGCCAGAAAAAAGGCTCCCGAAAATTCTAGGTGACCTTTTTAGGGTAGAAATCCATTAAATATAGGCAATTATACCATTTTTTAGATGTTCGAAAATCCTAGGAGAGGCAGGCAAGCAAGAAGTTTTACAACAAATGTTTCGAAAATTCTAGATCTCAAATCGTCTTCCGAACAGATATTTTTCCGAAAATTGTCGTTGGGTGCCCCTGATTATCAATGCCGGGTTCTGGACTCTCTTATAACAGGAAAGTTAATTCCCAGCAAGAAAAACAAATCTGTCCTAATGGCAAAAATTAGTTTCCGCAAAACACACAAAAAAACCCCTCTTCCCAGGGCTTTTTCCCTTAAAAAATAAGGAATGAATAACAAAGATAGCAATCAGTTCATTACTTTCTTCACAGACTTTATTTGCTTGGTTTCTTGGTTTCTTCTTAAGAGCCCTGAGTAACACTGATCCGTGAAATGAAGAAACTAACACTTGTTTACACTGAAAACAATTTCTCTTTGCATTACACAAAAACTACTGATCAGAAACCTGCAGTGTTAAAATTTAAATAGCGGGACGACAAATAAGAATACTGACAACAACCGAATACTTTATAACAAACGAAGAAAATCTGTTTCTCTCTCTTTGAGACAAGGGTGGCAAAATAATGTTAATATAAACATTCTTTTCTTCCTGTTTCAGCATTTGCCCGCACGATTCACGCCAATGTAAGTGAATACTTCTGCTGCTGCTTGGAATCGAAAATAACGAGAATCATGATGTCATAATTTAGGAAAATGGATTGTTTACTTGTTAAAAGCACATTGCAAAGAGAAAATAGCTTATGGGGGATTTTTCAACCTTAATATACATTTGTTGTAGTCACGTAGAAGCTTACATTGTCGATTAGATCAATGTATAACTCTATATCAGAAATATACGGTAACTAAAGTACATAATGTGAGATTAGTTTTGGGAGTTAAGTTTTTAATGAGGATGTACACGCTCTCATCAGGCAACCTTTTTGCTTTATTAGTTTAACACCAGTGAACAAATTTATTGTAAATTTCGTCACTGTTTCATTCGATTGAGAGGTCTTCTGTCTTTAAGGAAGAAAACAAAAGAAGACCCAACTTAATTCAAATTGCCTTGTCCAGGTAGTCTACTTTCAAAGAGACAGGTTCACGGTTAAGCGCATGCTCATTAATTAAATTACTCTTTTCCAATTTATTATTAATTCTATCGGTTAATAATCCCAATCACATGTATCTCTGCGATCTCAGAGTGTATTTCACAGTAGAAGTGTATTTCAGAGTAACCTGAAGTAGGTAAGATCGCAGAAAAAATTAGTGAATTATGCCAACACTACCAACGTTGATTTTATTGTTGACCCAAAGGTTTTATTCCATGGTTGATTAATTTACAGCTATTTGCAAATGTATAAGTTGATCAAGTGCAATTAGTGACTGCCAAGGGAGTGTGCAGATTGGTTCTTTGACAACATTATGACATGATCATATTGCTTGCATAGACGATACAGCACGAGCTAGCATGTTCCGGCCGAAAAACAGCATTTTGATAAATGAGCATGCGCTAAACCGTGAACCTGTCCCTTTAAGTTAAATTTTACCTTTTATAAAAACCAATCTCTCATTTTGAATATTCAGCCAATTAAACTGAAGCAAAGTTAAAATGAGCAATTAGTAAATTCATTACTAAAAACATAAACTGTGAATGTACTATTGTTTTGACTTACTCAGACACTCCACCATCACATGACCAGAGACGAACTGAAGTACTTTTTTGGTGTTGACAGTCACTACGAAGGTAGGAACATTAACTCTGTGGGCAAGCAAAGAAAAAGAAAAAACACTTAACCTTTCTTTGTTTGTTTGTTGTTTGTTTTTTTTGTTATTATTAACAATGTATCGTGTAGGTGAGGGGGAGGTTGGCAGAGCCCGGATCCCGGAGTCACTCTGTAAGTGTGTACAATAAGGGCATGAGGCTTTGCTGTTATCATTTTGGGTGCTATCACTAGATTTTCTTTGTTTCATTATAGTCCCAGAGTATGATGTGGTCACTCCTTATCAGTTAGATGAAACCGGCAGCCCGCTACCTGTTGGGAAGAGACTCCAATCGCTATCACAAGAACCACGTGAGAAACTTTTATACAAAGTCTCCACGTTTGGTAAGGAACTTCATTTGGACCTTAAACTGAACCGAAAACTGATGTCACCCAACCTCGTTATGGAGAAGAGACATGCGAATGGCAAGGTGTCGTATATTTCCGTACCAAAGAACACATACTACATTGGTCACGTGAAATCAGATCCAAATTCAATGGTGGCTGTTAGTCACAACAGTGGATTGGCAGGCCTGGTAATTAGCGTTTAATAAAAATTGAGAAAACAATTAAAATCCTTTTATTAGCCTGCAAGCAAGCTCTCCGGGGCGCTCTGGCGGCGGGGAGGAAAACGAAGGAGAGCTTGCAACTAAGTCCCTGGAATTTGAATTCCACCTCCGATTTCCCTTCTCCCCGTCGACTGAGCTGCGCAGCACGAAGCGGAAGGAGCGCGAATGTAAACAAACATTGAAAAACAAGGGTAGTGACGTCATTACTAATGTCATCTCCGCCAATCGGCATTTCGCATCGACTTTTTCAATCCAGATATTCAAATTCCAGAGACGCAGTTGCAAGTTCTCCTTCCTTTTCCCGTCCGGCCGTCAGAGCGACAACAAAAGATTAACAGATCTTTTTATAATTTCAGTGCTTTTGTATTGTAATAAAATATGTTTTACCCAAACAATGCTAAGGTACATTATAAATTTCACACAGGAGATTGTGTCTTAGCATAGTCTGCGACACCTAAGCTTGTTTTCTGGGAAAGGATAAGAATGAAACATTCTTCCACGCAGTCCTTTTAGTCTCGTTACACAGTTTTCCTCCTCCCTCTCCCAAAAGGAAACGGTTGCTCACATTCGAACCACATTCGTTTTCTATTGTTTTATCACCCCATTGAAGTGACCAATCATTTATGACAAAATTAAGCATGACGGTAGCTTTGCGCCAGAGCTTTGCCTAGCTAATAAAAGACCCCTGTGAATCGCTTCGAAGACTAAAAAACTAAGCAATCCTTTGTTACAGGCTGGAATGCTGAAGCTATCAAGTGATACAATGTTTATGCATGCTTTACCCACTCACCTGGCCAAACGCACGCCAGTACCCAGAGATGGACGGGAAATACCTCATCTTATTTATAAGACGCCCGTACTATATAAATTCAATGATATAGCAGGAACAAAAGCAGGTACAAAATGCACTAATATAAAGGTTAAGCACTTAATTGACTGATTAAATAATTACCCTTTTTGACCAATCAAATAAATGAATTTTCACCTTAAAAACCATTGACAAAATTAAGGTCACACCTATAAGGCCGTTTCCTCGATTATGTTCATGTACTGAAACGGGTTTCCGTTTTGTTACTTTTTTAGAAATCAAAAAGAATAGAACAAAGAGGTCGGGCCAATCAGAGTATGGAAATCGAACAATCAAAACAATAGAGGCAGCACTGATGCTTGAGGTAGATTTATCAGACGAACTTGAACGACTGGGCTGGTCACCTCAGAATTTGATTCTTTTGCTGGCAAATACAGTAAGACACATGAAAGTTCCTGTTTTTCTTCTGACGAGTTTAAAGAGGTTCAGTGTCACTGTACCCTGGTAACCCTTATTATTATTTTTATCTGTTATCAGTTTTTTTATTTATTTTAGTTTTTTACATTGAAGAGTTATTTAAAGCACGTAAACTCAATACATGCAATGATGCCATAAATTTGGAATGATCTAGCACACAGAACATTCCAGTTTGTGTTGTCGTCAACTCCATTTATGCTGCACAACATAGGGCAACTAACACATACTCTGAAACCACACCCGAACTTAGAAAATATACTAGGGTATCTAAAAGATAGTAATGCTGCGGAGAGGTACTTTCGCGACCAAGAACCAGAAAATTACCAACCCCGAAATGACTCTGTCGCGCAAACCCAAATAAACGCGTCGCACCTTTCCGCCTATGGTATGACTGAGCACCCCTCACCCCATAATAAGCTGCTTTTAGTCACCTAGGAGACATTGTAAGCGTTCCTCCTTTGTCCATTTCACAAAATCACCAAAAATGTAAAACCATTATACCATATCACCTCTACCACAGATACCTGTGTCCTCTGTTGACAGTTATGCATGCATGTACTTTTAGTACGTTTATAAAATATTGAGCCTCTGTGTGGGTATTTGCGGAGGTCGATTTCGTCGCGCATTTTCCATCAAATCGTCGGTTCTTTCTGGGAAAATCGTCGCATGTCAAGAATCGTTTTTCGTGGTAAGGCTACTAGTGAGCTCAGCGCAACCACAACGACCGCGGAGACGAGAAAATATAAGCAAAACAAAAACTCTGAACGTGCAGCACACTTTTTGGCAGGTTTCTTTGCCGTCATTGCTCGACGAACGTTGTCAAACTTGATTGAAATGGCAATGCAATCGTCGAACGACGTTTAAGGGCGACGCACATCAACAGGAATTGACCTTTTTTGTTCATTTTCGGACGATGGTTTTGCCCAAATTTCCAGTCAAATCGTCTCTATAATAGTAAAGAAGCTAAGCAATACATATTTCTTATCATCAAGGCATATTAAGAGGCAAAAGGCCTCACTTCCGGTTGACGTCCGTCGCTCAAAAAACGCCTTTGCTTAAGCCCCCTATCTCTAGGATCGTTGCTTCATCATTGGCGATCGATTTCGTCAGAAATACCCATGCACTGAGAAGCTCAGTATTTATCTATCTGTAAGTTTTTCGTTACTTTTGCTCGTTTGCAGATATCCGGACTTTTTTTGGACCGAAGCATTGGAGATATAAAAATTCATTACGTCCTTGTGCGTGGTATAATCATCGAAAAAGAGGTTAAAAGCAATGGTATATGAGCGGATATGTGGGCGCTTTAATCTGTTAGGCATTTTCCCCCCATTCAAAGTTCATATTTGAAGCTGTGCTCTTTGTATGAAATCTATTTTGTTTATGGGGTTCGTATCTCACGAGACAGTCATTTCATCCGGTTTCGGCCGCGGACTTGCTGGTCCTCATCGGCGATGGTTATCCTGGCAGGGAGGGGGGTGGGGCGTCCACCATGTCTTATAGGGGAGGCTCCGCTTCAAGGTCTAAGCCCTGTATAAACAAAATGAACCAGACAGCCGTAACAGAGCCCCTTTAATAGAGAGGTTAAGCATCACGTTTACTTCTCACGGCAAACACGAATTTGTACCACGTGACCAACTTTTCCCCTTTAATTTTCGTTTACTGTTCATTATCTCGACACATAAATTACTACTTTCAAGCAATTTTTCATCCATGAGGATTGTTTTGAGCTATTTTTATCTGCTCATTTTCTATTTTGAGAAATTCTGAACTTGAATCTGACGTTTGCCGTTTGCGGTATACGTGATGCTTAAACTCTCTAATATGTCGAATTTACCGTCAGTGGCTCTAATCCTTGGTGCATTACAAACTTGGCTTTCCCTCATTGTAAGGTTGATGGATTTCCATTCTACGTTTCGTGTGTGTTAAAAGCTGTACAGTGCAAGTCCAACAGAGCAGGAATGTATTATCAGGTTTAAAAACTCGAGGCGAACTCGAGAGTTTTTAAACCTGAAAAAGCACGAGTTTTTTGGGCTTCAAAATCTCTGATATATAATATAGATTAATTCATTCTTGTACGGCTAACATTTAGATCTGGAGTTATTTTGGTATCAAGAAAAATGGACGTTAAGTTTAGCTTTTTCTTTATCAGATATAAAGACACTTATTAAAGGTTTTTTTTTTTTTTTTCTCTTCATGAATTATTGAGTTTTTGAAGATGTTGTTTAGGTAAACGAAGTCTCGCCGTGAGGATGTTGGTCAATGAACTAACATTCACATACCACGATGAATAGGAGCCGCAAAAGCATTGTTTCTAATAAACGTTCACAAGGTTACTAGAGGAGCTTCGTTTCTGAAACTTTGCGTCATGTCTTTATCAGTTATTCGGGGGAAATTATGACGAGTCGAAGATGAAATGGTTTACAAAGTTGGAAACTTACGAAGGGACACAAAACAAACACGAAGACAACAGCTCAGAACATCATGATTTGTATTCTCTGATTTACAGGTAAAAAAAAACCTTATGTGCGACATTTGAGCTTGAATAAAGGAATGATACCACAGTGACGTTGAGCTTTCTAGCGAAAGGCGAATTGATTGATAGTTTTCGAAAAAGAGATGGGTGGTGTCAGCCTGGACAGGTCAGGAAGTGTTAAGGTACTTTAAAACAGGTGCTAAGGTTTGGTTAACTGAGTTTGATGTTATGTGAGCCGCAAATTGCCGACTGAGATTAAGTACGAAACTACTTGAATAAAAGATGCTTGCTGTAAAGTAACTAATAGATTTAAAAACAGTTAACAGACCACCAAAACGTGAGGCATGATCACCATCTGAAATGAGAGATGTATGAGTATATTATCCTGGACGCATTGCAATCCACGTGACTTCGTGTCCAACATCCGTTCAAGATTGTTCACTTTGAGTAGAATGATCATCCGCTCAACCTTTTTGATTTATTTCTGACTCAAAGGGAAACTCATTTAAACCTTTCTCCTGCACATGCAAACTACTGTAGCTATACTGACCAATTATTTTTGCTTTGTTTTTATGCTCTTAGAATGAAAAATGATCTAGGAGGTGAGGAGAATATTTTACCACCTAATTTAGTAATAAGTGCATCCTGAATAAAACGAACAACTCTGCGCAAGGGATAAATATCGTTGCCTCTTTCTAAGGCTACAATACTCGCCAGATTTCGTTGAAACACTAGGCTGAAAGTGAGGAGTTTTCGTGTCACGCCTTCTCAACCAACTTTTCTAAGTTTTCACGGTGAGGTTTGTACTTCTTCTTCTCTCCTTCCCTAGACTGCTTGCAGTCCGCCTCTTCTCTTAAAATCCGTCTGGTTCTTATCTCATCCGGCGCGATTGCAAACCAGTCTACTCCTTCCCCAATGTTGAGACTGGCGTTTATTTGCAAATGGGTGATACTATTCAACATTGGGAAGGGCTTAACGTGACAAACAACACATGTGATGGTATGGTATTCACTGAAAATTAATGCACAGCAGCTCCGCTATTATCAAAATCAAGACGCAAATTCTGTTAGTTTAATACGGAATATAACAATACCAGTGGATGAAACAATTCGTTTTCGTGTTTAACTTTCTCGAATAAGCACCGTATTTGAGGCGTAAAAAAGTTAACAAGCATCTACGCGCGTATTCGAGTAAATACGGTATATGTATGTTCAGCGACTTGGCTGTCACTTACTTAACTCATCAGGATAACCAACACATTTCTCCTATCTTGGAAATTGTTTGTATTAGGGCTCCAATGTAATTGCCATTACTCATTTTGAACTTTTACTTGTAAACCTTGTGTTTTTTTTATTTTTAAAAGCTTCAAAACCCTTTGTTGTGTATCAGGATTTTCCAGTTTTAAGTCGATGTGCAAGATGAAAGGAGCTGGAAATGTAAATAATTGGGTTGGTCTCCAGACTGCGTGGCTGATAGCTCATGAAACAGGACACTCGTAAGATGCTTTGCATTGCATAAATAAGAGGCTGTATTCTATGCCGTCTGTTAGTTTCATTTAGCCGGCGACACAGCGCCGAAATCCTTGTTCTAACACCCCCCCCCTCCCCCCCGTCGCCCCCTCCCTGTGTACTAGGATTTATGTACGTGCCATGATTGGCCTGTTAAAAAGGCCATTGTCGATTTGCCAATAAGAATGAAAGGAAATTCCAAACGCAATTCCTTCTGGTAATTCGTTGAATCCGGGCAGAACAAGGATCTCGGCGCTGCTTTAATTTGCAGACGTTACTAACCGGGTTTAAATTACGTCTGCGACACAGGCTAGTTTAATTGACATTCCAGTTCTTTAACTACCCAACGTAAGCACCTGGGTCGAGTTGTTCAAAGCTGGGTTAAGATAACCCAGGGTTAGTGCGACATTTGAATTCAGATTTGAAAGCTTAAAAAGCATTTCAGGTTTTATTCTTTTTGTCTACAAGTTGATGATTGGAGGCTCTAAAAATAGCAGGGAAAATTATTCGAGAAAATGCTCAACCCTGGTTAAGCGCTAATCGGGCTTCGAACAGCTGGGCCCAGGCCACCTTCTCCCCACTAGAGTTCAAGTTCCCCTTATTAGAGAGAATAGTTCATTGACACTTGGTCTTCTAGACGGAATCTCTCTGGGCATACATTGTTTTTTGGTTTTTGTTTTTGTCTTTCATTGTTTATTTTTGGTTCTTGTTCATTTTTTTGTCCTGCAGTATGGGTTTAGAACATGATAATAGCAGCGAGTGTCCAAACCTTCACTACATTATGTCGAGTTATCTCACAGGAGGGTCTGAAGCTGGAACATGGTCCATCTGTAGTAGAAGAACCGTTCAACAGTTCCTAAAGTGAGTATTAATTCGAATAAATAGTTAAAATCATCCGGCAGTGGCCTCTAAGAACTGGCAGTTGATGGATAGAGGGTAATCGACGGGAGATGGATGACGTGTTCCACTATCCGCCATGCACCCGTGGAAAGATGCTTTCAAAGGGAATCATTTAACACTGAAACTCTTTTTCCTTAACTATTGCGTCTTAATATTTGTTTACTTTATCAACTTTTTTATCATTAGATAGCGGGCGTGTTTAAGGATTAGGTTAAAGTAACACTTTGAATTTGAATCAGAGGAGGAGCATTTTGCTACCCCATACCAAACAACACTCGACTGGTTTCCACCGATATGGACAATGTCATTGTGGTTTATTAATAAAATGTTGTGAACTAATAACCTTATAAAATGAGCCAAATGTAAAATTTAGAGATACCATATTAAGTCGAAAAACTACAGTTTCTGACTCTTTGGTGAAGTGTTTGTCCAGGTAAATCGCCGAGGTCTGAGTCTATAACTTGTCCTATTGGTCCCGTTTCTCCATGCGTCACTATAAATATAAAGGGGCCTGAAAGCTGTTGTTGTTTACATTCAAGGTAGAGGTTTCAGTAGTTTCGCAAATAACATGATAAAGCTATCAGTTAACAACACAAAATGGACTGGTTTTTTAGCCAAGAGGACCTGCACTATTATTCTTTAGATTTTGATTTGAAGATTTGATTGCTGGAACACGAACAATTAACGTAATTTCGAGAAAAGGGCTTCAGACCCTTTATTTTTAATAGTAAAAGTGTAACGCGTGTTAATATTAAGTTACTACGGTTGACGGGTATCCTGGAGGTTTACCTGCCTCTAAGACGAGGTTGAAAACTTTTAGCAAGCAAGTAGTTGAAACATCTTGTACACTGACAGCTTTTAAATTTTTCTCCAATGTTTTCGTCCCTAAGGAGTGACATGTCACATTGTTTGAATGATGCACCATCATACAAGAAGGTGACGTACCAAAGTGATGGGATAAGTAATGACACACCTGAAGTCATCGATGAGAAGTCAGAAAGAGATCATCAGATTGTTGATCTGAAGGGCATCAACCAGGACAAGACTCTGATGAGTCTCCCTGGTCAGCTTACAAATGGTGATGAACAGTGTCGCTTACAACTTGGAGAAGGCCACTACCAATGTTCCCAAACAGTGGTAAAAATAACGCAGTATAAATAACACTTCTGAAATCTTGATTTGAGGTTCCTTTGATCATCGCTGATAACTGTTTTTCTATTAGAAATGATATATTGCTGGCTACATATTCTATTCATAACAATTACTTAATGAGTCTATTTGCGTTTTTTTTGTAGGGATTCTGGTACTGATCTTCCCCAATTAAAACCTCTCCTACCCTCCCCACCCCTAAGCCTTTAAGCACGCACAATCTAACATACGTCATCGTCCCTTATTTCTCTCAATGCCCGGCACCTAAACTGCAGACTGAGTCACAGACAACAAGTGCCAGTAGAGTGGTACTTTGAACTGGGGCGTATTAAAATGAATCCACTTGTGGAAAAGTGTTAGCCGAGCGGTGAGAACCTCGAACCTCGGATCCGATCGTGGGTCTTTCCTTGGTATCAATGGGGTTAACCGATAGGCGTAAAACGGCCAAAAATTTAGCCGATAGTCGTAAAAATTGAAAAATTTTAACCGGTACCCGTAAAAAGGGTAAAAACAAGTTAACCGTAAAAGAAATTGTTCCCTACATTTGCTAGTTTTAAGGAAGGTGCTAAACTCACTTGTGGTTGTCACTGTTTGTAAACTGACACCTTGCCGATAAACAACATTTTCCTGTTTTCTCTGACGCTAATGTAGACATTGTCATGCCTAGTCCCTGTACGGCGTCTTCCCACGCAATCTCGGTCAAGGCATTTCGGTGGTGGACTCGCTCGGACCACGTGACCCGAAACGCATTACCCGCGTGGAATTTTGTCATTGGCTGTTTTCACACGAGAGCTAGAAATGGATTATCCGTCTGAGACCAGCCTGTGTACAGTCGCCCCCTCCCCCACAGACATCCCTTCTCCGTTTTTTTTCTTTTTTTTTTTCTCTGAGGGGAGGGGGCGGCTGTACACAGGCTATCTTGAACGGATAATCCCGTCTTCAAACTGTCCGTCGACATTGACGGATAAAGTCAGGCGATTTGTTCATTCAAAATTAAAGGTATTCCATTTTCAAATTAAGACGTATTATCTATCTGACGCGAATCGTCAAAAGGATAACCCGTCTCACACGAATAATGCGTCTCTAGTGTGAAAACGGCCATTTCTGTTATAATGAATGTCGCGCCCCGGCCTTGAGTTGGGCGTTCGCGCGTCCCCTGCTTTTGCTTTTTTTCACAAAGATTATTTTTAAATTGACTATTGACTATGTGTAAAATAATGCTAGAAGTGGAATACTTTATAAAAAGTATAATCTATCAAATGTTAAAATTTTTCAAAAGAATAGCTTATTTCATCCCGAGATGATTTAACTTTTTGAAACAAAAGAAGTTAATTTTTAACTTTTTTGTTAACCGTAACTAAAGAAAATAAACCGATAGCCGTAAAAGAGTCAAAATTTTAGCCGATAACTGTAAAAGTCACCACCCTATTGAGCCCCTCTTGGATGACAAACTTTGCTCCACTTTTTCTCTCCTTAGCCAGGTGACTGCCAACATACTGCTAGGGCGAACCCTGCAATGGGCTGGCATCCCATCCAGGGTGGAGTAGAAACACTTGTAGCCGTAAGCTCTGGCCGTATAGGCCTATCTAGTGACTCGGGTGGGCCTTGATCTTTTACGTTACTTCCAATTACAGGCCGACTGTAGCATGCTTTTTTGCACAACTGATGCTTCCTCCTACTGTGTAAGCAAGTTTTCACCTCCTGTAGATGGAACATATTGTGGTGGCCGAAATGTAAGTCGGTTAAGCACATTATCATAATTATTATATTCAACGCCACGACCAGAGCCGTTTTGCCTGATGGTCATTCAAAATCACCATAACTACACTACGATCAATGTTATATCTTTGTTGTTGTTGTTGCTTGAGTTGAGAGTGTCTTTGAACGCTGAGGACAAGAAAATAACACAGACGTCTCGAGAATTGTTGGACTAGATTCAGTAGTAGGATACTAGACACAAGTTATTACATTCTTGATCTAAGACGAGGACGACTATGTGGACGAGATCAGTTTCTCAACACTAAGTAGTGCGTTTGCTTGAGCCGGCGTCATTTTGGCGGGAAAACCTGTTAGTGGTGGTCATTTGACTACTAGTTTTATGCTTTTTTAATGTCCCAGTGGCGGAAATCAAACAAGTTCTCAAAGGTTAGAGGTTTCATCATTTGGAGATCGGAAGAGGGCTTAACCTCCTTTAATGAAAGTAGCCGTGCTAACTTTTCTTGTGAAAAACGTATAATGAACCTTTCCAGGGTATGTTCTTTTTACGAATACGCTAAAAATATTTCGTGCTCGCCTCGAATAAGTGTATCTTTTTTCCCAGAGTATCTGAACTGTCAAATTTAAATTTAGAAATTTAGGCAACTTTTCTGCTTAATGATCACTTTTGCTAGTTTTTTAAACATTGCCTTAGGTTAATTAAATTCTTGCAATTTGTTAACTTATTTTTTAGTGGTGCATAAAGGGAAGGTGTGTTGACAACGGAAGTCCTGTAGTTTATGGTGGATGGAGTGCTTGGTCCAAGTTTACTTCCTGTACTCGAACGTGCGGGGGTGGGGTACAACACCGCACTAGGACATGCACCAACCCACCGTATGTAGACGATTTTTGCATTGTTATAATCATTATCATTACCATTATCAAACTAGTATTGTTTACATGCTCTTTCGGTATGCTCTTTCTGTATCGGTAAAGTTTTTAATAGTTTGAATTCAATGACACACTTATAACTAAATAAGTACACCCTAAGCAGCTTTTAACCAGTTTTCACAAACAGAAGCGTGGCTCTTCAGCATACATAATTACCACCTTACAACTTTAATTTTAGAAAACAAACAAACAAGGAAAAAAGGACAGCAGAGTGATGCTTGATTGCTCAATGCACAACCAAAATACACAATTTTATACGTACAGCTGTCGAATTTATTATCGTAATGAAATAATTTTTTTATATAAGTATCATTCTTGTTGTTGTCGTTTGTTATTTTATTAACTGATAAAACATCGACTTAGACCAACGCCCGGTGAAGGATGCCTCGGAGAGAGTATTGGTCATTGGAGAAAATGCAGCATCTTGGTAAGATAACAGAAAAATAACACAGATTTTTTTGTACTAGGCCAAGAACGTTGAGCCTGAGAATCAAGGGAAAATATGATCATTCTAAGGACCTAGCTCGAAATGGAGTTCGGTTAAAAGTATACAGTATTCTAACAGTTTCCACATGAGCAACATACTAGGTGAATTATCATGCAATAAATATTTTTGAAACAATTATTGGATTCAGTTTTTGTACCATGAGAAGAAAGATCGAGGAGGGTTTTGTCTGGCGAGGTCGAACACTCGACACAGAGCCTCAACCAATAATTTCTAATTATAACCTCTGAGCAAACAATTTTTCTCTAATTTCAGCCCTGTCCTAATAGCACGCATCTAACCTATCGTAATGAGCAATGTGAGAAAAGAAAGGGAGAAGGCTGGTACGCTTATTATTACGGAAGTGAGTATAAAAGCTCAGACTTTAAGAGTGATACTGATTCGTTCTTTTTAATGTTACTTGTGTATGGGGCTAGTTATTGAATTGCACTTTATTTCTAGCATTCATCCAGAAACTAAAACAGCACACGTTGTTTCCGCTGTTTGAACAATTGACATTGGCAGGTTACTCACCAGAGGTCTTGTTAGATGCCTCATAATTATGTTAACTGTTGTCTTTTACAGGTCCGTGTTCTTTGTTTTGTCGATTAGGAAATGAGATAACAATTCATGGAATTGGTACCGTTGCAGATGGAACTCGATGCACACCCAATGCTTCCAATTACAATATCTGCATCCACGGCGAATGCATGGTAACTACTACAGAAACGATGTTGATGTGATCCAGTGTATAGGCGGATATCGTGAAATCATTGCTTATTTTTTTGCTCATTGTCATACAAGTTAACCCATAAAAGATGTAGCCATATATACCAATTAGGTTCAAAAATGAAAAGAGCTGGTTAATTTAAGCAGTTTGTGCAACTTTCAGCTCTTTGCAATCAGTTAAAAAGAAAATAGCAGCAACTAAAAACTGCAAAATTACTGGGCGGCAAAACGTTAATGAGCTCATACATTACTTGTAATTTTGAGGTTTTTCTAAGAGAATTTGTCCGAAACTATTTGAAATATCGGGTTCTAATTTTCAGAGATAACTGAAATTGTTATGCACTTTCAATATTCAGAAATTTCTTTTTACTCGCTTCATCTGATCATAATAAGCCTATGCTAATGAGGCAACAAATGTAAACAAGGATTCGCCTAGTATTAAAATGCAACGGTTCTGCAATTTACTAGGTGTCTCGACATGAAGGGCCAGAGCTCCGCTTATCAGCGGTGCTAAAACAACAGTCATTAACCTTTTACATTAGTAAAGACAATTAAAACACACTTCCTCTCACTCGTTATTTTTTTTTTTTCAGCCTACTGGTTGTGACCAGGTTATTGGCTCGAACACTAGGTTCGATCGCTGTGGCCTGTGCGGCGGAAGAGGAGACACGTGTAAACGCATTCAGGGCGTATACGACAGACAGATAACTAAAACTGGTTTGTTACAATGTAGTTTCCACTAACTTTGGGGAAGCGTAGTGGTAACTTGGTTTTCGCCTTTGTATCCCTAAGTGTTTGTTCTTGGGTAGCGTTCATACTGTCAATTTAATGTCTCCTATTTGCGCAGCGTTAAGAGAGGTCCGACTTCATAGCAACGTTCACACGAGAGTTTCATCATCAGCATATAAAACGTGTTTAAAATGACTAAAAGTAAAGTTTAGGTTATGGTGCTTTATAAGCTGATGGTGATTTTCTCTACCTTCATTTTCTTGCATTTTAGCTAGTCTACGCATAGGTCCTGTACTACTCTATGTAATTGTCAGCTGCTGTCCAAGAAAAGCGGGATATCATGATTTTCGTTTCCCGAAATTATAAGAGTGTTATTTAGAAATATTTGTTTGTTTGTTTCATTTTAAACGCTGACCTCAAAACATTAATCCAAAGCATTTTTAAAACAAAAACAGTCAATAGGACATGTACCCTGATAGGTGTTACCAAATAATGTGTGTTTTGATATTAGGGCCTGTTTACATGGAGGTGGGGGACCCCCAGGTATGTGAGGTAACCCGTTTAGAAGGGGTAACCCGCCTGTCCATATAATCTCTCATTTTAATTTGATCACGTTTACATGTTAGGTGGGGTAACCCGCCACATGTTACCTCACCTACCTGGGGTCCCCCACCTTCATGTAAACATGCCCTCACTTGGGTCATGACTATTAATAGCAACTCATTTACTTGTATGTAGGTGTTGAAAATGCTGATCTTATCGTTCAGCTTCCTTTTGGGACAATCTCGGCAAAGTTTGCTGAAACAGATGCAACTTACAACAAAATAGGTAAACAAACCGATACACACTTCACGGTGATGTTATAATGCTGCATCGGTGGTGGTATGGAAAACAAAAATTTAGTTTCATAAAATAATATAACTGAGTTTATAAGGCAAAATTACCACCAAAATGTGGAGATTAAAAAACTGGCATTCCAGCCCTCTTTCTTAATCAACGAATCAAGGGAGGGCGGGCTGGGTATCATTTTATGTTGTCAAATAGCCTGCGTAGCAGGCGCTTGGAAGTAGTGGGCGAAAGAGAGAACGGGCGCGCGAGGGAGACACGCGAGAGGTGAGGGTCTCCTTCTCGCGCGCCCGTTTTTTCTTGTGCCCACTACTTCCAAGCGCCTGCTACGCAGGCTAGTTGACAAATAAATAACGGAGCTACAATAATGGTAGGAACATGGTAATCGGAAGCAAAAACGAAACAGTTGAATGAGAAGCGTGCATGTAGAAAACGAATTAAATCTGCCAATTTGAGAGATCGTCTAAAATTTTTCTAGTCTTCGGTTGTTATATAATGTTGCCTTAATCAATTCGTCAATTTCTAACTGAAGAATCAGTCAATCATCGCGACGGGTAAGTAAATGATGTGTCAGCTTAAAATTATTTTTGACAATACCTGGCTACAATCGTAATAGTATTTCTAGTTTCATTTCGCTATTAACTCAAGTTCTCATTGTTTAGGTGTAACTTCTGAAAAAGGCGATTTCTTGATCGACCCGAAAAATAACAGAACTACAAGAGCGAGTTTTGCGGACGCTTCAATTGACTATATTCAAAATGGTGGGCTGTCTGCTGATGTCCTGGATATACGTGGGCCAACAAGTGATGAAATGAACGTGAAGGTGACAAAAAATCAAATATAATGCTCTCAGTTTTGGAATGTATAAATTTTGTTCATGTTTTATTGTAATAAAGTCAAAGCTTTCCTTGCTACCACTTTAGTTATGGCCGCTTTTGTGAACCCCTGTTTAAATTGTGACTTAAGCTTTTTCAGTAATGAAAAGCTCTCGTAAGCGATCGCGACCGCTCCCATTATAAGCGACCGTGACCACTTTTGGGATTACACAACTCGACTTCTTCCTTTGTTTTCAAGCTCTCGTACGTAACGACCGCTCAGAGTCTTCAAATAACCCATGATATACACTTACAAATGAAACTGCAAACTGCGCCAATGGTTCGTTGATAAAGATTTGGGGGTTATTTTGGTCTAAAATAAGAGTTTGGCCATGTCAAAATCAGATATAAAGATACTCATTAAACATTAATTTATTCTCTTTTTTCTTTATGAATTATTAATGAGTTATCATCTTAACAAAAGAAGTACTGGTTAAAGTTCATAATTCTGCGTTGCGCGTTTCCCTGAATTAAAAGTTTTCATATTCCGAACTTAGTTATAACCTTTCAATTCCATCATCATCATCATAATAGGACATCACCATCGTCATGGTTATTATTATTATTACTCCTTTTTGTTGTTGTTGTTGTTGTTTTTTTCGACCGACTTTAACGAAGGAGATTGCGATGGGAATTTATCGGCGCAGCCATATATAGGAAAACGCAAATCATATCTGTCACCAAGAGAGGATAAAGGGGACAGAGAAGGCATCCCCCATACACGCCCCATTCCATAAGTACTTCGTCTCGAGTTATTTTTAAGACCACAGATCCCAAGGGGGATTAGACAACAGCCAATCACATAGCGCGAATGTGTTCCGCGTGGATGACCCACGCCCAGAGCCACGCGTCCTTCGCGAATTGACGCAGAAGAAAATGGAGGAAGACGCGGAGAGCGATATTGCTATTCGTTTTGTCGACGAAAACGACTAAAGAGTGATTTCTGCTAAAACTGTGTCAGCGAAGCGGAAATTAAAAAAGAATCGCCCTTCCTCTTTTGTATAGAGCCAACAGTTCAGCAGGGAAACACACTGAATATTCTCTCAGGATCATTTATAACTTACAGTTTGAAGAGAGCAATTTCTGGTTTGATATTTATTCTCTTAAAGTCTTTTATCATTCAACAAAAATAATACTTGGCGCCCTACTTGCTTTACTGTTCAAGCGGCCGGTTTCAATAGACCGGTAAAATTTCTCATTTTATTAAAGCACTGAGGCTACGACAACTTCGAGTTAAACTGATTTCACGTGTTGTCAAAGAGTCCAGCGATTCCCTTTTCTCAGTTGAGCGCCGACTCATTTCGCTTCAATATTCAGGAATGCTCTCGATCTCTTTACGCTTTCATTGCCTTTCGCCCGACATGTTTTGCACGGCGATTAGTCATGCGAAACCTCCGCGTAACATCCACGCAGCGCGCGAGGTAACTTTATCCCGATTCTAAAGATAACTCGAGACGAATTACCTATGGAATAGAGTGTGTGTGAGGGATGCCTTCTCTGCCCCCTTTATTCTGTCTTGCTGTCACTTAATGAATCGCAATTCAAATGGGTACTAAAACGTATGGCTGACATTCGTAAATAACCTGAACGGTGAATAAGTAGACTCTTATACCATTTATAACACTGTTCTAAACTATACGGTGTGAGCACTGAAACTTAGTTGATCATCATATTCTATTAGCTACACCATGTAGTTTACGACCTTCTCTTTTTTTGTTGTTTTTGGGAATTTAGTTCATCAATGTAAATGGACCTAATGTTGGAGTGAAGTACCAATTTCTTTACCATGTTCCAGACAAAATAGAACTGGAATACAAATGGTTGCTCGGAAATTGGACTGAGTGTTCAGCTACTTGTGCGAGGGGTAAGTTGATCTAAAAATAGATTGGACAGAGGAATGAACATTTAAAAGAAATCTAGACAAAGTTGAATACAGAGTGTCTTTCAACTGTTGTCAAGAAAGGTGACTTCTTTAATTATTTATTTTTTTCACTCTCTTCCCACATTCTCCTCTAGTTTTTTAACCCTAGTAATGATCATTGATTACTAGATCATTAAGCGTGCCCTAACTGATCTAAGAAATGTTAAAGCTTCTTTAAACAACATTGAAAGTAAAACAAAACAGTCGAAAACAAAACATACTTAAAGGAAGTCATTGAAGAAATGTTTTCAACTTTTCATGGAGTGTTCTGGGAAGTATCAGACTAGCTTAACGCAAGGGGCACCACAAGCACCAACACATGGCCCGGCCAGTATCTCACGCATGCGCACAGCTTGCCTGCTTGTCTTCTTGTAAAGTATCAGCCAACTAAGAAATCCAAGACTTGATTTACCCCAAAGGAGGAAAGCGCGACTCAACGATCTTTCAAAAAAAACAAAAAAGGATGACATAAAGTTCTGTGATCGATCAATAAAAAAGGAAGTTTTTGATAGCTTGAACTTTTTCTTTTGTAAGCTCATCCGAAAGAGACCTCATGAAGTGCAACTGTCCTATTATAATATCATATTGAAGCTGAAATCAGGATTGCTACTGGCCAATCCGATTAGACAATTTTCTGTCATCGCTATCAATAAAAGGCTTATTTTTTTCTCCATGTTAAGGATTTCAGGAACGTGAAGTGCGTTGCGTTCTGGTGGAGGATGGAACACCAGCTTATGATAACGCTTGTAGTAAAAAATTAGCTGAACAGAAGCCAAGCACTAAACAAGTGTGTAATCAGCAACACTGCCCTCCAGAGTAAGTGCTGTACATGTATAACTCTAATTTCACCAAGGACGTAATCACTGTTGCAATATAACTTTATAACGACATTCAGAAAGTTCTTCTTCCCTGTCGTAACTTTCACTTAAGGTGAAGTTCGATAAAGTTTCTAAACAAGTTTCGAAAATTTACGTAGCTTTGAACCCGTTTGTATGATAAAAAAAGGAGTGTCATCTCACAACAATTGATAACAGGTCTCTTGACTTAAAGCCAGCCTTTCAGGCCGACGTTCACATAAAGTCTGCCATGTCAAATCGAAGCAATTACCTATACCAAACTTGCCCACCAGTTATTGCTCCGGCTTTTTTTAAAGACGTATTGACTATTACAAAACACTGGTTATAAAGATCGAAAAAACTTTAGAAAAATGTTAGAAATTTCTGAGAGCAAAATTCAGTCCTTTTCCTTGCTGTGTAAGGCCAGGGAACGTAATAAAATGCTGTGCGTATGACAAAGGCTTATGGGGTTCTAAAGAGTACCTGAATCCTACCCTCCCCTCCCCAATGAGTGAACACTTGTGACCAAAGTTATGACGTGCTTGACATACCTCTTGGCTAAGAAAATGCGGTTTCCAAACTTTTTAGGAGGGAAAACGCGAAGGCGGTCCTGCTCCCATACTCCCATAAGCGTTCAAGCGTAGGAGCCCCATGTTAAAAAGAATCTGTCTATCTCTTTGTAACACCACAAATGCGTTTATGTCTCGAAATAGATGGCATTTGACGGATTGGTCTCCCTGTTCTAAACTTTGCGGCAAAGGAGAACAAACGCGTCAGCTATTATGTCGAGAGAGGATCAGCCATTATCGATACCATGAACTACTAGATTCTTCTCATTGTAGCCAGGAACTACTACCAGATAACATAACACTCTCTAGAAGCTGCAACAAGGTTATATGCCGGCCAAGTTGGAAAATTGTGACAGAATTTTCAGCGGTAATCGAGTTGTCTTTTGTAAAATTATTATAACCATTAGCGTTAAAAAAATGCGCTCTTACTTGTGCACCGATCAAAGAAAAACACAGACTTAGTGCAACAAATCAAAATTAACGCTAGTCTTCTGGCTCCTTTTGGTGTAATTAGTTCATTTACAAATTCATTTAGATTTTTATTTCTGGCCCCAGTTGTTCAAAAGGTGGATAACACTATCCACTGGATAAATCCCTAACCAGTGGATGACGCAATTGGTTTCTGTATCACTTAATATCCGGATAGTGATTTATCTGTTGAATAGCAGGCACTATCGGACCTTTGAACAACCAGGGCCTGGAGTTCCATCATCTTTATTTTCATCAGTCTGAGTTACATTCCTTTCACGGGCTAAGATGAACTCAACTCGTTGGCCAGCTGCTCTTAATGTATTGGTCTTCGTTGCCCAGTTGGTAGAGCAATGCATGAAGCGCTAACTCAGAGGTCATGAGTTCGAAACCCAATAGTAGCCCTAAATTTTGGGGGACTTAATCTGCAATTGCTTCAGTTTGGATTGCCACTGGGAAGGCGCGTATCTTCATTTAATTTATATCAGAAGAATTTTCTCCCACAGTTCACATCATCCTCATTGAAAAGTATTGTTGGCACCATTTTGCCAACCGTTACTCGGTATTTTTTCCAGTGTTCTACTCCTTGTGGCGCTGGATTTCGACAGCGTAAAGTGAAATGTATCATGATTGATGAAGATGGAATAACTAAGGATTTGTCAGATGAGCACTGTGCCATGCTACAAAAGCCACCAGAGAAAGAGCAGTGTGACGCCAGTAGAATATGTTTAACGCCAGGTATACAACGCCACAAACCCCTACTGATAAAAGAAAAGCTTAAAATACAGACGAAATTCTTCTTACGGACACCTATACTAATATAAGACGACAGTCATCCTGTCATGGTCTTGCCGGCAGCATACAAACACAGTGCACTTCAAAAGGCACTGACCTCCCTTACAGGGGCTATCTGTCACGGCCTGCGCATATGCGATGCCATATTGGATTTGAGAAAAATTTCGTCGTGTTGCCGATTCTTATACAGTTTCAGTCGTTAAAAAAGTTTAGTTGACAAGGTTAATACTAATATATTTGTCCTTTTTCGTGACACCCAAGACCAAATTATGGCACGAATCCGATGACCACGCGAGAGCCGTCCGTCCGGCGTTTTCTGCTGTGTATCGATCCCCTTTCAATAGCTTCGACTGTAAAACTGACTAGAACTCTTCAACTTAAATTCTATTCAAATTTAAACCTAATACTTAATTTTTAACTACAAACCGTAAACGAAGATTTGAATCATGATGATTTTGATTTAATTTCAAAGTTACATACAGAGAAACTCAAACGAACAGTCATGCAAAAACTGATAAAAATGAAAAAAGGCGTCATGTGACAAATATCAGTGATTAAGTATCTTTATTTTGGTCTCCAAAAGAATTAATATTATTAATCACGTACGCCGTTTAATTTAAAACTATAATTATGTTTGTGCTACTACAACTTTAATTTCTGAGTTATCATGAATTAACGATAAAGATGAGCTTCAATGAAGGCTCGAACACTTAGTCCAAGTGTTTGTTTTGAATCTTTGCTATATTTCCATAATGGCTACATATTTTCTCGAATTTGAGGCTAAAATGGATGCTTTTACCTACAGATCAGGGTCGATATCAGTGCTACCCGGCCAATCCTTGTCAGAACGAGGCAGTTTGCTTCGAGAAACCTCCAGCAGACTACTGGTGTGAATGCCCAGATGGTCTAACAGGCAAAAACTGTGAAGGTAGGTGTCATCGGAGGTATGTGATAAATATGAGGATCCCTGATTAGTTTTATCGGGGTGAGGTGGGGGAGGAGGGGAAGCAATGTGTATTAAAAGAAATGTGTATTAGGAAGAATGTTTTCTTAGTGTGCGTGGGGCTTTAGACTAACAGAATTTATAAGCTTTCAGATTAAATGGACCTTCATTTTATTGAGAGGCTTTACAAGTTAGAGAGAATTAATCCATTCTTATCCACAAAGCCACGATTCTTTTAGCCAGCACTATACTTGGCTCGAATCTTGGTGCCGACCAAAAAGATCACAGCTCTGGGAACGAGAATGGAACCGCCCCGATCCGTCCACTTTTGGGCTGAAATTTTCGAAAACTTTTGTGGTTGATGGATTCGACCCCCTCCAAGCCCAATTGAAAAATTGAGGCCTTTGTTGCAATCTACCATGCTGATGTGCAGTTGGGAAACAATGGTGGTCCTATGACCTAATGGATTAAAGACTGGAATCATGAAAAAATAAATATTACTTTTTCAGCGGAGATCAATCCATGTGATGATCAGCCATGTTTGAACAATGGGACATGCCAGCCTAAATCCTGGTCAGAGCACCGTTGTAAATGCTCGGCTTTCTACAAAGGTGAAAATTGTGAGGGTAAGTTGCATCCGCCCACCTTATGGCGGCTGTGAGACTCTTAAATCGAGGTGCTTCTATCCGGATAAGCTGCTTAAAAAAATACAAATAACGCTGTTTACGTTTTATTTTATTCAGTTTGGTTGACCGTACGGCCTTACCGAAACCTATGACTATGTCTATATCTATGTCTATGTCTATATCCTAATGTCATTGACTTTGTCTATATCTATATCTTTGTCTATGTCCATGCCTATACATCCTAATGTCTATGACGATATCTATGACTATGTCTATTTGTATAGTAATAATTTTTTAAAGACTGTCCTCTGTAAGTTACTTTACTAGTGAAACGAGATTTTTTAATTGGTTTATAGTTGCATCGGCAGTAGTAGCCCCCTTACTAGATTGTTTCTGCGAGCACATCGGGTATATTATGAGTTAAAGACCTTGGCCCTCCAATATCCATGACTCAGTTCCTCCATAAAGAAAAAAATTAAACTTTTAGCTGGAACCCTGTGGTTACCAGCCTTTTATATTTAGCTGAATGAGTTGTCCAGCCTAAATGAAAGCTAATGAAGGCCTTTTTCTCAAATTGATTCTCAGCGGTTCTCATCGCGAAGTTATCGAGTAGTTCAAACTGTATTTGCTAAATCAGGTATCATCTTAATTAGGGCAAGCCTTACCCTGATTAAAGTATCGTTAAATGCGTAATGGTGCCGTTTGCGGGCAAATATTTTTGTTTAGAGAAGGTGAAACCATGTGAAAGTAGCCCATGTCATAACCAGGGCAAGTGTGTCACCAATCCTGCTGACAAGAACGATTTTATCTGCCAGTGTGGACAATGGCTGACAGGGAAGTACTGTGAAAGTAAGTGTATCCAAAGAAACTACTCTACTATTTCCGAAATATAAGTTTAAACAGATATTAATGGTGATTGTGTTTTAACGCAGTCCTTAACTTCAAAGATTGCTAATGAAAGTGAACGTCTTGCGACGTGAGGCGCTAAGTAAGTATAGAGCCAACGTGAAGCAACAAGTTGTATACCTGGAAACATTTTGGGCACGAGAATATCCTTAATAAAACTTTAATCCTAGATTTTGGACTTTTTATTTGATAGTTGAAATGACAAAGTGTGATGGGCAGCCATGCCAAAACGGCGGATTATGCGTCAGTCGCCCAGACAAAGATCCATCTTGGTATAAATGCTACTGTGACGATGGATTTGATGGTGAAAACTGTGAACGTACGTAGTTTAACTAAAAAATGTCTTTGAATATCAAATTATTCGATTTACACTACTTATTACATCCACTTTGAAATCACTGGCTATCCGTGCAATCTGATTGGCTCTCAGCAGTGTGATTTATTCCTAAATCGCACCATTTTTTGCTCTAAATCGCATCTGTTCCAAACCGCGTCATTCATGTTCTAAATCGCATCATTTCTGTTTTAAATCGCACCATTTTTGTTCTATATGTTGCATCATTTCTGTTTCGAATACAAAATGAGATGTAAAAGCCTTTTTGTTTCGGCTTTTTAACAAACCGGCTACTCGATCAATAAAATATTAGTACTGACTAAATTCTGCGATTTCAAAATGGATGTAATAAAGTGGTAATTGAACTTCGTGTCGTGCAATTTTGGTCTGAAATCATACTTGTGATTTCAAATCAAACTCGCGCTGCGCGCTCGTTCGATTTTGAAATCACGCGTATAATTTCAGACCAAATTGCACTCCATTTAGTTCAATTACCTTTATATATTTTTAAATCTTGGGATCGACTGCACATCGAAGATGAGCAGCAATACTCACCACTTGTTCAAGTCGTAAAATTAAAGATTCAGAGGGTACGAGTGGTTCGAGTAGTCAAGTTGTGCGAGTGGTTCAAGTGGTGAATGTGATACGTTTGAGTGAACTAAAGCAAAGTACATTACTTGGTTGCATCTCATGTAGAGAGGGGGGCCTTCTCAAGTGATACGACTCGTGCAACCGGTGAAATGGCATCTCTTTAGCGACAATTAGAACTTGAGAGCAGAGTTGTCTGCTTCTAAATAGTGCACGGAAGCCACTAGTACGAGTCGCTCGAATTCAAAGGCTTATCTCACGACTTAACCACTCGTACGAGTTGAAGCACACAAATTTCGACTTTCACAACTTGAAAAATGTAGGAGTGTTGGACAACCCTCTAAGAAACAGAGCAAGTTAGGGGTATTTTGGCGGGAAACTAAGTTTGATGTTTAACAATCGCCCAACATAATTTTAAGCAAACGTTTTTAAAACGAGAGCAAGACGTTAGCCCTGGGCTTATACGACTTCACAACGGATTTTTAAGTGGGCTGGTAATACGGGTGGGGCTACACCCGGGTGCGCACGCATAATTAGCAAAAAGAAGGCTACTGTTAACGAGAACAGTTCTGCAAATCCTTTTTTCGGATTCCCTAACCGAATGGTGAAAAGGAAATCCATGAAATTCGGATTTGGGTTTCTTAATTGAAATCCACCCTGAGGAAGGATTTTTCGGCGGTGAAATCTGTTTTTGGATTTTGCGTTCGATTGCAAAATCCGAAATCCGGATATCAAAATCTAAATCCGGATTTCCCAATGAAACGCAACCCGTAGATAGGCAAGCAAACAACTTTGAAAACAAAAACTTCCTGGGTTAAAAACTTTCATGTAAACTTTATGTATTGCCTTTTCTTATTAAAATTTATTTTGCTGATTGATGAAACTGTTTCTATTAAACCTTTACAGTTAAAAATTGTAAAGGACACAACTGTTCAATAAACCGGCGTTGTATATATTTCTCTTCCAGAAACTATTGATGTTTATTAATGCTCCTCCAAGCCAAGATCTTAAAAGGAATATTATTAAGCTATATCACAGCTATTAATGAAAACTTCATGTTAATCTAAATAAGGTTTTATTTTTGGTGGGGGGGGGGGTAAACAGTTTGTTAACAAGAGTACTAGTCAACACGAAACAGAGAAATCAATCTAATTATTTGAGGTGTTTTTGCGAGTTTTGAAGCAATAAATGTCAGCGAGGTGGGCAAAAATCTTCTGTCTGGTGTGGTGTTTATGTCGATTGGTTCTTGATGCGAGTTTTAACGCCTTCTCTTGGTCACTCCTATAAATAGCCAACTGGCCCCAGTTGTTCAAAGGGTGGATAACGCTATCTATTGGATAAATTTCTATCCAGTTTATGTCGCAATTAGTTTTCTTAACACTTAAAATATAATCCACTGGATAGTGATTTATCCAGTGTCTAGTGCTGCCCATCGTGCGCCGAATAACGGGCGCCTGGTTTGACGTATTCCTTCTGGGTTTCTTAAAAGTCTACTATGATCCAAATTTGGTTGACCTTTTCTGACTAGCTTTGAAAAGAAAATTTTCAGTCAAATTTCAATGAGTCACGGGATTTTTTTTTTATAAAGGAAGTTTTAAAGCCGAACAAAATTAAAGTTGGTCGAACAAGCCTCCAGAAAGCTAAATAAGTGTACGAAACGTGTAGAAATCAGTTCAACTGTGCGAAACAAACCGAAACTATCTGGAGAGCACTGTTTGATGCTAAGTCACTCGTTAGTTTTTTGGAAAACTTTATTTAATTTTGTTTCCCGAGAACCTCGAACATTGAGATTGGGCCATGACAATCTAAAGGTGATGTTACAAGAGACGATTCGCAACGATGATTTTTAGCGCAACACATCGTTGCAACGTTGTTGCGACATCGTTTCGCATTGTTCCAGTACTGCGACGCTGTGTTGCGTTAAAAATCGTCCCTGCGAATCGACCCTTTTAACATCACCTTGAAGGCACTTAGATTATACCTAAACTATACCTGATAGCTGTTCGTGCCGACATGAAAACTATGTGTCACAGTATGAATGGCAAGGGCACAGAACTGGAACTAGTCTCTCAGACAAATCGTACCGGAGCGGTTAGCCGAGAGTGTTTGATGCAGCAAGTCTCAATCCTCCCTTCTGAAAATTAACTTCCGTCTCAGTGGCGTCCAGACCTCGCTCCTACTCATTTATTTTAGCTACGGTCCAACTACCTGTTCACACTGCAACGTACAGTGGAAGAAACCTATTTCATATCTGACAATCCAATCGAGATAGTCGGGGCGCAGATTTGCTCCGTTAGAGTTGATTTCCAGTGTCGCGTATTTCTTACGTGCGTACGTGCGCAGATAAAGTCGAGGCAATGCATGAAAGGTCGCTTGTAAGCGTAAAAGTTGAACCTCGCCCACTTTCTCGTTTAAGTTCAGCACTTTTTTATCTTGCCTCTATTTATCTACCTGATAAAAATTTACCCGCGTTAACGTGCGTAGCCAAAAACGCGTCAGTGGAATCAACCTTGATAGAAATCGCGCTGAAATCACCCTTCTCAAGCTTGTGTAAAAAGAAGCCTTATGCAGTATAAATTTCGGGTCGGCCCAAAAGCTATCCGGAACACAGCCTTAACGTGCAAAAAGAATGCCTTAACCCTTGAAGAAAAAGAGGCCCTTCTAAACTGCTACAATCCTGAGATATCGGCAATATATTATAAATTACCGCCTGAATTACGTATATGCGGTAAATTTTTACTTTCATCGTGCGTTTAAACCTCAGTTTCTCGGTCGACCCCGGTGGATTTTAAATTATTCGACGTGTCTTCGTCTTTATAACTGAGGTACTCAATTGGCAATTTCTTCTCTTGGAGTAAGGGAACTACGACGGAAATGAAACTTCCCATGAAAATCACGAAGCCGGTGTACAGAAATGCCACTTTGTAGCTGTGAAAACTGTCGTAAATCCAGCCAGCAATGGGTGGACCAGCACTTCTTGTAAACGCCATCGAAAAATAAGCCAATCCAAGACCATAAGGAAATCCTCTAACGCCCACGATGTCCCTGACCAGCAGGGGGGTTAATGTCACGTAACAACCTTCGAATATTCCGAATGTGCATGCGTACACTACAAGCCATTCATAGGAACTGGCCAAGATTACCAAAGTTGTTGACACGCTCATTCCTAATACACCTGCTCGCCAAATGAAAAACCTGCCGGGAAGTTTGCTGTCGGCCATTCTGCCAAAAAGTAAACGCCCCACGCCAGATGCGGCTGCCGCGTAGCTGATCAACAAAGCGCCTTCTGTTGGACTGGCACCACGTTCCTCAGCCATCCTCACCTATTCCAAAAAAAAGGCATTAATGTGTTACGAAAGGGCACGGGATATTAAACCTACATTCTCGCTTCGAGAAAATAGTAGGCGATACTTATCTGAGAAAAACTGATAAAAACGCTTGAAATGGCTTTCATTGTAAAGACTCAATTCACTAACGTCTTAAAATGAATTGCAATGAAGTGACCTTAACATGATTAAACTAAAGCCCTTTCGTTAGGGTACGAATCATTCATCAGGTTTGGAACCTTACCAAGAATGCTAATGCAAACTACAAGTAGTCTAATATTTTCCTCAGAGATAGCTACCTTGGAGATATACTGCAATGGGCGAAACATTCCTGCGCGAAAATCCCCCGACATGAGCGGGGATGTGCATGGCTTTTAACATACTACATGTACTAGCAAGAAAGAGGAGGATTTCTACATTTTTTTTTTCTTTGCGTGCGATCAGTCTTTTTCACGCAAACCTCAGCAGTGCTTTTGCCAGAATTTGATTGTTTAATTGTACTAGAACTTGTGTTCTCTGGTTATTTCATCTTCGCATAACCTCGTGCAAAATATTCCGCTATTTTCTCAGCGCCGCTTCTTTTCAATTGCCTCACATCTTTACATCCCTTTTACTGTCAGTATCTGTACAATTGACGTCAATCGTTTTGAAATATGTAACAATCACCCTAATGTGGTCAATGCTAGCAGGGTATAAGGAATTACAAGGGGATATAAGCCAATCAGAAATGGATTTTAGTGAATAACGACAATAAATAAAACAGATAGCAGTTTATCCAGCTCAAGCCCACGAATTAAGCTCACCAGATGAACAAAAGGGACCAAGTAGCCTAACATGTTGAAACCTAATGCGACGATGAAAACGATGAGTGCTCGATTCTTGCAAATGGACCAATCAAAATACTTCTCCTTCTTGGTTTCTTGAGAGAGTACCTCGTTGTCTTTCACAGGACAAAAAGTCATTCCACAGACAATAATTACCACTTGAACTGCTGCAAGAATGCGAAACGAAGTAGAAAGTCCAAATCTGTTGAACATCCACTGTAATCCAGGGCTTAATGTCAATGTACCAAGGGAACC